TTTTTTTTTAGAGGGAGGGAAGAGGATATGGCATTGAGGGAAGGAATGTCAAGGAGGTTGAGAGAGAATAGCACAGGCAAAGCATCCTTACCTTGGGCCTTGTTTCTGTTACTTAAACATAGTGGAAAACCATCTCCAACAGACAAAATGCTACAATAGTTTCTAGGTCTATTGTTAGCTCTGATGCATTTTCTTACTGAAATAATATCCAGGGTTTTATGGGCTAACATTCATAAACAAAAACCCTTAATGGGTGTTTTTATGCAAAATATTTTAAGTTTCCCCTGGGGATAGCAGGAACATATCTCCAGGATAAAATAACAACATCAGATAACCTGAAGAATAAAGAGGCAGTATGAAGGGGAGAGAACAAAATAGTAAGGCACTTGAGATAATTACCACTGCCTCTCTTTGCATCAGCAACGTGGAAATTCCCATTATAAATAGCATTTTACTAATATTATTTTAGGCATATAATGCTAACAGTAATGTTAGTAATGTTTTATAATTTTTTTTTAAATTTGATAGAGAATTTGCAGTGTACACACTTAGGTATGCTTTCTTTCTTGGCTGATTTTTTTCTCCTGTTGATATACATTTCTGATTGTATAAGAAAAATTAATGGAAAACAAGACATTATAGGAATGTATTTATATTAAGAAATGTCTGTACAAGAAAAGAATACTTCAGGGCATGTATAGATCACATAATATTATTACTGTTTGAAGAATTAAGTAAGTGAAAGAAAGTGAGCTGAGATGCCAAGTACCATTCAAGCTCTATTAAAGAAAGAAATCTGCCAGGCTGTGCTCAAAGTGGCAGGCAGCCCAGGGCTGCCCTGAAAATGGGAGACAGCACCAGGTGTGGGGGTGGTAGAGCTTACATAGTGCGCCAAGGGCCGGCTGATACCATCAAGGAGGGGCATTATGCTAATGTGGATCAGAATGGAGAACTGTGTCCTTGCGGAAGCAAAAGGGGTTTCTGTTTAAGACAGGAGGCTTCAGCCTACGTGTAAAAGGAAGCGGGGAGGAGTCGGGTGCTGGAGTGGAAGATGAGGCCAGTGGCCATCCTGTGCTCATTGTGTGCACAATGGCACTGGTCACATCCAGAATCCATTAGTAAGACAGTAAATTCTATACTGAAAACACATTGTTCTGAGCCCCCTATTTATAGTGATTCTTCTTCAGATTTTAAGCAACATGTATCAGATAAATGTTTTTGTCCTCTTATTTATTTCTCTATTTAAAAGAATGACTATCCATAAAAAGAATTCATTTTAAATTCTTTAATTAGATGTAAATTTTATATCCAAACCAATTACATCTCTTTTTCTTCCATTCACTCAGGAATATTTAAGTGTTACTATGGTGCAACTATCAGGGTTAGGTGTGAGGAACTATGGGTTGGAGCAAAAAGATTGAGTGTGGTAGGGGGAAAATGATGGAGACATGCCTTTGGAGAATTGGTAGTATAGTTGGAGAGAAGCCTGTATCTTAAGTACAGGATTCCAATAGAATGTGACAAGCACAATGATAGGGGTGCACAGGAAGGGAGCTGTGGGAGCTGCAAAAACCTTGCCAAGGGGGCCAGAGGACATACGGTAAAAAGACTCA